AAAAAAGAATGGCTTAGTATAAGTTATAAACAATACAATAAATAACAACAATTTTATACTTATCTTATTGCACTTGGTTCAATTGTTTTCATTTTTTAAAGTTTATTAGTTACTATTTTTCCTCCTATATCATGTCTTCTGCTTCATTATTATCATTTCCATTATAAAGATCTTTACCTTGTTGCAAAATTGATAATAATTCACCTTTACTCTTTGACTTTATTCCTTTAAACTGTGGATGATTAGCTTCATTCAAGGATCCCAATAATGTTTGGATAACTGATAATAATTCCTTTTTTGACAATAATGATTCATTCAGCAACTCCAATTCAATTATTCTTTGCTTGTTTTCAATAATAATTTCAGAATATTGAACTTTTTGGTATTCAAAATCAATTAATTTTTTTTTTACTTCTTCTAATTCTAATAAAAGATTTGTGTAGTCTTTGGCTTGTCCTTGAGCATCATTATCAATAGTCAACTTAAGTTTTTTTTGCTGGTTTTCTTCTGAAGAACTGGGAGTAGAAGTATATTCTGCTTTTAATTTCTCAAGAATATTGTTAGTCATAATAATTTGGTTGTAATGTTTTTCACAAACAGAGTACTCATTTAAAGAATTAATTAATAAAGATAAATCAGTAATATATTTAGCAAATATATTTACACACCCAACTACTTTGCTTCCTGAGGCTCACCTCCAAGTTTGATCACTTTTAGTTTCACATGGGCTCAACTTGTATTCTTGAATAAACATAGCAAATAGGCAAGGTAAAGTGTTAACAGGCGGTATTGGTGTTTTATTCACTAAAGATTAGAAAAAAAAATTTTTCTTTTTAAAAAAACCCTCTTCTGACGTGTAAAATTCCTTGATTTTTAGTAAAAACATACTTTGAACAGCTTAACAGATTATAACAGATTATTAACAGATTATGAAAGAGCAAGTTGAATAGTATATATTTCGATTAATATGTAGTGGAAGTATCACGTTGATTTGTTTGCTACATATATTAATATGAATTGATCGATGAATGAGGCTGAAATCGTTTTCCAAATTTGGTAAAATCCCTGACCATATTTGCACGATGTAGATGTTCTATGAACTTGGCCAAATTAGTTTGATGACATGATGTTGCAAAAAATCTAGTAACTATTTTCAGTTTACATGGGAATCTGGTACAAAAAAAAAAAATCCATTAAAATATTGATCAATGTAAAATAGTTGCGACGTATTATTCGATTCTGATGAAATTTTTGTTGTTAAGATATTTATCTGGTTTATCTGCCCATTTTATCATTTCATACCAAGATCTGGGATTAACTATTCTGTGGCCTCGTTCTCTTAGCAAATCTACAACATGCTTATGCAATCTATCGTGTAATTGGTATTTCTTATCACCTATCCAATCATACGGAATATAATATTCTTCATAATTTCTATTAAGAAAGAAGCAAAGCATATCAGGGTTATCTCTCCTATACATTGCAATCATCTCAGCAATCCAGAGATTGAATTGATTTCGAGTTTGAGGATATTTCACTTTGTATGAAGTTAGACCTAAAAATTTCTTATCATTGAGGGTGTTATCATTTTTTACAACATTCCAGATTTGAGATGCTAATGATTCAGGTCTTTTCTTATAATTTCTCCAAGTCTTTTGTATAATTCTTGATGCCCAAAATCAGTTTTAGGCTTATCGCATTCATGATTCCAATGATACTGCATCAGGTCTTTAACTATTAAGGTTGTAAAAGATAAAGGCTAACAATTAGGTTTGACAATTTCCACAAATCTTTGTCAACCATAGTGGAATGATTTCCTAGGCTTCACATTATTAACCTGAGTAAGCTTCATACAACCCAGACAGATTGCCATTCGACTTCTATGGATACTAGGTCGATAGTAGTCAAAATTGATTAGCTTTTCTTTACCAAATGAAGCGAATAAGCAATATCTATGGTATACACTATATTTTTTCTCGCTTAATAAATATTGAAGGTTGGCTCTAACCCGTACAACCCATTGGTTGGGATTTTCACCCTGTTTCATGATAGACAACTTGTCATATAATCTTTCACTATCAAAGAGTGGTTTGAATGGATCAGTATAATACCCAAAATAATTTCTGATATATGACTCAATATACTTCAAATCATATCCAGGGCGGTTATTAATAGGTTTGGGTAATGTTCTATCTTTTTTGTCAAGAATAATAGTGATATCAAAACCAGACATATTTAGCAATTATAATAAGTTTAATGGTTTATATGTGATTTTTATTAACCTATAGTCTAAGAATACATGATTAATTTTTAATAAAGTGAAGAGATAATCTATAGTAATACTGATATATTTGGACACGAATCCACGATACCTTTGAATGATAATATGTGGGTTTGAGGTGAGTTAGGCTTGACCGATAAATTGGTTTTTTATTGGAATTGGAACTAGACAAAAGTTGTGTTTTGTACATATTATTATTAATTTCTGGAACAAAATCAACCATGTAAAAAAAAAATGATAATTGGAAAATATAAACTAATTAGGTAAATGAAATAATGCAAGATTAAATAATTTAGAGGTCAAAAAGAAGTCACATGTCGGATTGTTTATTGGTTTTTTTTGACCATATTTCACCCAGGAGGTGCAGTGATTTGGCAAGATCTTTGTTATTTTCACTGTAGCTATCCAAGAGTTTATCACAAACCTCACGTATAATGAGAGATATTTCTGACCGTGAAAGTCGCCAAACTACTTCACAGACCTAAGGGGTTTTAAATTTATATTAATTGAATTATTTTTTATATAATAAAGTTTTGTTCTTACAACTTTTACCTCTTCTCGATTCATTCTTAAAGGTCCTCCTTTAGTTTTGACCGCTACAAAACTAGAAATTACACCCGTTGCAAAATCAAGATTGTCAAATATATTAGAGAATTTATTTAATACGATTTGCTTAGAATATTTATTTAAACAAGTATCCGCCTTGGAAATATAAATTTTGCCTAACAAAAGTAGAAGGTTTTTGCCATTGGATTCCACAGAAAGTTTTTGGGCTTCTTCCTGAAGACTTTCTTCAAGTAATTTGTCATTTTGTTTCGAAAATTGTGAAAGTTTGTTTTGTAGGGTTTGAACGATGTCGGATACGCGAATATCGTGACGACGCTTCTTTTGCTCAGCTGATGTTAAATTCGTCAGTTCAGGTGATTTTTCTTCTTCTACATATGAAAATAAAAAAAGACCGATTTCTAAGTCGCCAATATAAGCTTTCCAAGAGTCACCTCCTACATACTGATTAAATGATGTCTTATTTCCCAAGGCTAAAATCAATTAAATTTAAATGAATAAAGAAATAGATATAAAAATTAAACGACGCATTGAGGAACTTTAAAGCCTACAATTATTTATTGTTCCGTGATTATCATAGAGAAAACGTTTGTCGTTATCTGAAAGAATTTCGTATGCTTTTAAAAGCTTGTTCCACTATTAAAAACATAAAGTTAATGTGCGAACACGAAGTTAAAAAAACAAATTGACATAGTACCTCTTCAGTTTTTGTATTTCCATTCTTATCCGGATGATGCTTTAGAGCAAGGTCCTTGTAACTTTTTTTAATTTCAGCGTCAGTTGCACCTTTTTTTAACTGAAGGATATCATATAAACTCGTTTCCTCTGGTTCATTAACTACTATCACACTTTAAACGATGAGTAAAATGTATAATAAATATTGGGACAATAAACAAGCTGTATATACCATTAGAGTGTTCGGTCTCATTTGACCCGTTTAACCATTCTTTCATTATCGATTCATGGCGTTTTTTATGTTCTTGTATATTGATTTCACCATTTTCCAGTTGACGTTTGATTTCTTCTAATTTCGTTTTAAGATCCATTTTTAATAAATGAACACACGAAACCTTTCTTCCTTTAAAATACTATTAAGTCTATATATACACAAAATGAGCCTAATCCTGTTCTAGTTCAACAAAATTTTTGGCCAATCAAATTCATTCATTACAGGAACAGGAACAGGAACAGAAATTCTCGAAACAACAAATATTAATATTAAATGAATAAAATTAAAAACGAAAGTTTTTTTAATTGATAATAATAACTATTATACATTAGGAGGAAACATTGAATTTATTCCGATAAACAAAGGTTTTTATTGGTCAGTTTTTGAAGAACAGGAACAGATTATTAACCTTTATAAACCATTTAAATCAAAAGTTATTTAACAAATACAACAATTTACTTAAATGAATAAAATTAAAAAAGAAAGTACTATTATACACATATGCGCTGATTTTGTTTGAACCCCAAAATCCAGTACGGTATGATCATAACGTTATGAATACTTTATACTAGAAAAAACCCATTAGTTTTGAGGTGGGGCCATTGGTTTGACGGGTTGTTGAATAGTAAAATAGTTTTTTTTAGCGGAGCAAATATTTTTTTTAGGGTTAATTATCATTCTACTGACCAGTTTACACATTAAAAATACTCGTGTTTAACATCAAGACATAATAAGACATAAGGTTTGAAAAAAGGCCCAAAAAACCAAATCGGCTGATATGCATTAGAAGAAACATCCGATTCATTCTGACAAACAAAGTTTTTTATTGGTCAGTTTTTGAAGAACAGGAATAAAACTGAACAGATTATTAACCTTTATAAACCATTTAAATCAAAAGTTATTTAACAAATACAACAATTTACTTAAAATTAAAAAAGAAAGTACTATTATACAAGAAACATCCGATTAATTCTGATAAACAAAGGTTTTTATTGGTCAGTTTTTGAATAAAACTGAAACAGATTAACCTTAATAAACCCATATAAAGAAATCTTTACAATGAGTTATTTAACTCTATAAATACAATATAATTCACAACTTATGAGTAAAAAATAAAAACCAAATTTTAAATTGCTTCAAATTAAAATTCGCGTATGTTTATAATAATAAATGAGTATATTAGTATATATCTGATATATATTAACGAGTTACATAAACGTGGATTTTAATCCATTTAAAAATTATTTATATAGACTTAACATATATAACATCCATAATGGTCACTCTTGCTGAAAAACTCCGTGGTCTCATAGAAGCCTATAAGGAGGAACTTCTAACAAAAAAACAATATGATAAAATGCATGCCGAAATACTAAAACAATATTGTAAATGTAAGTTAAAAATGCAGTCAGACCCCATATAGTCAATAATCTCAGTACTAATCACCACTATCTTAATGAGAAACCATAATTAAAATTTTTCAAAAAATCACTATGTTCTCGATTCTGTGATTGCAGAGGGGTTTGACTGTATTTTAAGGCTTCTGATAACTTGTTTTGTATGTAAAAATGAACACCATTTGACACCTCTATCCTAAATGATTATTATAATTCTCAACATTTAGTTTCAGGAACATCAGTGACGGTAGACAAATCGCGAGCACCATTCTGGAGAAGAATCTTTAATGAAGCAGTTCGACTCTCTAAGTTCACCTTGCGAAGTCTACTTATGCCAATCGTTAGTGCATGTACTATGGGATTAATTCTAGGATAGTGGAGTTTTGTTTATCGCATTTATCACATCGTGATGGATGATCTTGTTGAAATTATATTGCGTGACATTAATTTTAAAATGAAAATATATATGTAAAGTCACGTTTTTAATAAACAAAAAATTTTTTTTGTGAAATAATATTCAAATAAATTTTGTAATTGGTTATTAAATGAAGAGAGAGGCATAGTTAATCACGATCTTTTCGGGATAACATCAATATCCAAGAAGTCTTACTAGAAACGACTTAATTTATATAGTAATTTTCCTATGGTTTCTAGATTTCAAGACACATTTGATTTTTTATTATTATGATATTTTTAATCTGGATTTTTTTCTATATATTAATAACGATACTAGTATCTCTAATACATAATATAATTTTAATTCCAATGGTTGAAAATAATAGTAATACTAAATCGATTCGTCAAGAATTACTAAATAAACTGAAAACAATAGCGGAAGCTAAAACCGAATTAGAACAAAAAATTACAGAAGAGATTAAATCAAAGTCGAGGAATAATAATGGTATTCTGGTTGATTCGGACTCACAATGTCCAATTATCTCCTATGAAAAAGTAAAAAATATGGGTTTAAAATAGATAAAAGTTCATCCAAAAATACCGATAGAACGATTTCCAACGAGTAATGTTGTAATAGCTGACATGCTTAGTTGTTAAAATATCTCAAGTAGGTTATAATTTTTTAGGTTATACTCATTGAGAATATTCTTCAAATCGAAAAAAAAAATAATTAATGGATAATTTTACATTTTGTTCGTTAATTTATATTGGTAAGAGACAGTAAAAAAGGCATTTAAATTTAATTATCATATAGAATGCAAAAAATAATTCGGGGGTAGGAGCCCGAAATTATTAATAATGTAACTTTATTTTATTTCAGAGAATATGACTTTATTATTGTACCTATTTCAATGCTTTTTCCGATGCGAGAAAATGTTCCGCGCCTAGAACGTTCGTTTTGGTAAATGCGTCATATAGTGCATTGGTTTGTATTTTGAAGGACTTAAATTTAGATGATGAAGGAATTTTACGAGGATATCCCCCGAGTTTCTTTAAGATTCCAACATGTTTCTAATGTTTCAGATAAGATGTTTTCAGAATAATTCATCTGAATCAAATTCTGTAAAGCCTATTGTCTGTTTTTTTCAATGGTAAAAAGACTCATCCCCCTTCTACGGCACTTCTTACAGTAATCGTATTAAAACTTCTACTAGCAAGAGTTGATAAAGGTGGGATTAAAGCTGTATTAGTGAATCCGCGTCTGTCAGAATATGATGCTATATAATATGTAGGTCATTTAACGTGTTTATAACCTTCACGTAATATACTATACCTGCACAAGCATCTAAATCTGAAACATCAAATCTTCACGAATAATTTTTTTACCATCTAGAGAAGGAAATTTAGGATTAGTAGGATCGGGTTTTTGTCTCGCATCAATATCAAGAATTAAGCGAAGGGGCTGGTTCCCGTTAGTGATGGGCGTAGAAATTATTTTGATAAATGACCAAGTTATTAAGTACTTAATAACTCTATTAGTGACTTATTAACTGTTAAAAAACATCTTTATTGGCAACAAAAATTAATAATATATATAATACTAATTGATTTACTTATGTATACGAAAAACCAATAATTATTAATTACATAATTCAATCAAAAATTTTAAAATTGATTAAAATACATCAAAATTAATAATTC